CGAAAACTTCACATGGGACCCTATTAATATCTAGAGTGTAGCCAATACACGAGATTTTCATCGGTGTTTAAGAAGGGTTATATGTACGCAATCTTACCCCGGCAAATCGAGAGGTTATTTCTGTAATTCGAACTCGTGACCTCTAAATCACAATTGAACAATCTTACCGTTGCGTCAAGGCCTGTTGTCTCATCTATTAATATCTATTCTTTTTAATTGTCATAATTTAATTTTTATTTATTTAAAAAAAAATTTAAATTATTTTAAATACAAAATATTGATCAAGTTTTTATATTTAAGTTGACAATAAATCTTTCTCAATAAATAATATGGTTAATTCATTCATTTTAATTGATCGTAAATAACATAACAAGCAATTTAATGAGGCTATCTAAAATTTCGACTTAACCAAGTACAGAGTAATTTTGGACCTAACAAAATTAGATATTAATTTGAATTCTTAAAATTCAAATCATATTTAAATTACAAAAATAAATAAATAAGCCTACTATACTAAAACCCACCTTAGTTGCCTATGCCTAGGGCGGGCACTGTTAAATTGCGCTACAAAATTTGGGGGACTTTTTTAATTGACCCAGTTGTTAAACAAGTGAATCGGACACGACGGGTCACTATATAAAAGCAAATTAAGATATCAGGACTACCCAATACAAAAGAGGAAAAAGAAAACAAAGAGAGTGGCAGTGGGTGGTGTATGGAATATGTACAAGACTTTTGGGTCAGTTTTGAACACTCAGATTAGGGCCTGTCTCCGTTGTTCAATATTATGCCCCATTGGGTGAACCGTCCAAGATGTTCTCTGCAAAGTCATGATGCTATTTGGACCAAGTTGACCAACTAAGCAAGCTCAACCAACCTGAAACAGACCGTGAGTTTGATACGTACAACTAGCTTGGACCAATGGGCCGGTTCGGGTCTTGAATCGGGTTACTGTTTTTAACATTAATTCATTTATGTCCACCTGATATATGGGTTATAATGGATCAAGTTAAATGGATTGAGATAAACCCTTTAACCGTGCATCTTGAGAATCTCCAACTCTTACTCAAATCCTAACTCAATTTTAAATTTGAGTAAAACCATGATAGAAACAAACTCCCATCATTTGTTAAAGTCATATTAAATGAATTTATTTTTGACCCGTTTAGTAAATACGTTGGGTCAAACATGGCATAGCAAAACATCCCAAATAAATTGTCCAAAATATTCTAGGAAAAATAATCATTTAGTGTTGCTTTACATAACCAAAAAAAAACCATTAATTCTATAAATTGTAAAAATGAACCAATAAATCCCAAATAAGTTTAAATTCTACTTAAATTCCTATTGCACTCCTTAGAAATCTTTCGGGCGCAGAGCACGCAGGACTTTGAATCCAAATACATTACCCCAGAGTGGAAGTAAACATATTAGTAACAATACCTTCTTCAAAAAAGTTTAATGGGTAATCTACATAAGTAATATATTAATTTTCTTTTCCAACAACGGGCTCAATTTGGTAAAAATAAATATCAAATTCAAACCTTTGAAAAATTAATCAAATAATGACGTCATTATTAATCTTTAAATAAGTTTTAAAAAATCAACAAGTTAATAAATTTGATCAATTTATTATGAGTAAATTGGTCATTGCAAATGGTATACGCTTTCCAAATAATTATAAGTATTTCGTGTGAAAAGTAGGATTTAATTGTAATTATTTCAATCTAAGATTGGGCGGGATTGGATGAGTTCAAATGGGGAGACTTCACCATTGATACGCCTGGTTGGATTGATGGTGACAAATGAATCCCATTTCAAGCATATCCTGCACAGACATGCTATTGATCAAATTTGATTAACAGTTTCAACAACAACCAAATATTCTAAAATTTTTAGATTAGTTAGGAAATGGAATTATTTTGGACAATTAGTCACAAACCAATATATGAACTCATCGGTAAACCGATGAATCCTAAACTTGAGTTTGAGAATCAACTTCCAGGTTTGCTCACAATTCTCTCAAAAGAGAACCAAATCTTGCCTACTGTTCAAACCTTGCACTAAGGCTTCATTTGGTTAACTAGAGATTGATGGAAAATTCGGGAAAGAGAAAAAAATTTTGATTTTTTACTGGTTGTTTAACATGATAATGCCAGAAAATGCTAGAAACTAAATTCCTAGGCCTACAAATTTTTCTAGTAACACGCTGTTTTTGGTTCCTGTAAATAGTGCAGGGAAATAATTTTTTTCCTAGGAAAGTTGAACCTGCATGTCTCGTTTCTCATTTTACCCATATTTTTCTCCCACGTGGGTCATTTTCTATTAGATATAAATATCTCTAATATAGATAAGGATAATATTGATATTTAAACCAATTTTCTTGTTACTTTCTTGTTTTTCAAATTATAGAACGAAAATTTTTAAAAATTTTCTTGTACGTATTTCATATTAACTAAATACATGAAAGAAATATATATTTTCTTTTCTTTTCCTTTTTTTTCACTTTCTATCATTATTTTCATCCTAATCCAATGGACCCTAAGCACTTTGAAAAAAGATTTCAAATAATGGTGGATTTAAGTCTAGCCTCTTTCAGAGCCCAAAGTCCTTTGGGCTCATTTAAGACAATTCAAGCCCCTTGTTTAGACAGCGGTCACTGGGCCTAAACAGGACTACAACCCAGCCTCATAGAAACCGACAACAAACCAGCTCGAAAATAAGTGGCAGTTCGACATCGTCAAACTCAGTACAAATACCAGATTGGGAATTAGCGACACTAAGCTATTCACCAACAGCTATACTGCGACACGTGGACTAGGGGACAAGGTGACAGTACCTGATGATCCTAACGAACAAATATCCACCGATAATAGAGATAACTCGTGTATTCCATTCGAAGAATAGTGAGTGTAAGAAATCGTCAGGGATGACAGACTCAACAACAGGACAAACTAAGAGGATACCACAGAATCATTCAAAAAAGGAATCACCACGAAAACCCTAACGAGAGATAATGACACCACAAAGAAGACAACTAGCGATAACCTAGGCAATATTCTGTAAAAAGCTTCCAACCAAGTTTTTGGTAACAATAATCTTCTTCCTCAAACAATACAACTCCCAAAAAACAAAAATCTCTCTTACAGTGGATATAACATTAATTTTTGGTTAGGATAAACCACTCAAACTATTGCCTTCACCTCACATTTAACACTTAGCCCACTTCCTATCACATACACACATTCATAGGGCCACACCCCAAATTGTTCTATTAGGTCCAGTTAATTTCGAGTACCATCAATTTCGATACTATACCAAAAAAAAACTATCGTTAAGAACTTTATAAATAACATTATAACTATTTGGAATTGACCATAAAATTTTGCGATTAATCATGAAAATATTTTGATTGGTCATATAATATTTCGATTGATCTTCACTTTTTGAGCAGTAAATTAGACCCTCAAAATAATATAACTTAACCTTTAGAACATTAGAACTTTCGGCAATGTAATTCCTCAGTACCGCAGTTATTCCCTTACATGGATTAGATACGAGTCCTCACAATATACAAGGCCCGATAGAGTTTGTGTCCATTTGTAACCAATATACTGCATATTGGTCTACATGTTGGGCTTTAATTGTATAAAGCCTGTTCGATGAACTTGAGGCTTGGTCTGACCAATATGGACTTTTTATTGTGTTAACATTGGGCCCAACATTTCTGAAAGTTGAGAATTCAACTGTTTTGGGCTATACTTATTGTAAGACTAGCAAGAAGTCGCCTCAAGTTGATGTCTAAGTTGTAGTGTAAATTACGTTGTGATTAAATTAATTTAATCTGTACACAATCTATTCATTATGTGCACCTGGTGGACAAACAACATGATGACTAAAGTTGGCAGGGGCAATACTGGGAAGTTGAAATGTTAATAAAAACGAGTTATAAACTTATACATCATGAATTTGAATATGTGTAACTCCTTGAAACCAGGATATGAGAAATTTATCTCTCATAAATATTGTAGTCTCGGCGTAGAAAGTTTGTCTTTGACCAGACCGAAGAGAGAATTAGTCGAAATGCACATAAGTTGAACTGGATACCCTTGACCATTGAAAAAAAAAATTACTGATCCAATTTGGTCTGCCATTTTTCTTTCGGATCCCAACTTGATTTTTGAGTAGGCCCTAAGACACGTTGAACTCTTCATGCACGGTTTGATCCACTCAAATTTTAATTTTTTTGCAAATTTGCTAGTGAGTTTGTATGTGTTTTACTATATTTTTGTGGGATTCAATGAATTTCGCTGGTGAATTATGTGTTTTACGATATTTCATAAACTTAATAAGTTTAATTTGTTTGGATGACAAGTGAAATTCCCCGTTTGTCTTCAACGAAATAGAGACAATTTAGTCTCTCAGACTCGTGAGTTCAAGTAAAATCAAGAGAAAATACAGGTATATAAATTAATCCCTCAACTCATATATCAGCTAAATCAAAAACTCATATATTTAAAAATATATAATTGAACTTAATCCAAATTGATGAGATTTGAAATGGAGTCTCTCTCTTCAGGCCTGCCTTTTCCTCTCCTAGGTGAATAGCTCTGGCCTTTCCATTCAATTGTAGTTGATCAGAGTTAAAGTGCTAACAAAGAAGAAGATGGCTGCCAATGTGAAGTGAAAACCACATTTCAACAGCAAAGGTCAACCCATACGCCTTCCTTTATTAAATTTGTTTTCTTCTTTGCACGTTCTCTCTCTCTCTCTCTCTCTCTCTCTCTCTCTCTGCTGTTGCAACTGCCGATTTTAACTTCCTCAACTCCTCCTGGCCCACAAGAAGATTCTAAATTATGGGTACCCTTTTTCTCCATTCTTTACATCTCCTTTCCTGTTACAAATCTCTCTAAAAAAGGTCCCCGAGAGTCTAAATCTAGCCCCTCTCTCTCTCTCTCTCTCTCTCTCTCTCTCTCACAGATTGTTCTTCTTTTGGATTGATGGAGGCGTCATTGAGTTCACGTGGTAAACAATCTGTTGCTTCCAAAGGAAAACCAGATACCCATGAAGAGGAGGAGAGTGGTTGGACAGCTTACTTTGAAGATTTCATAGCAAACCAAAGAGAACATAGCTCAAATTCAGATACTTTTATTAACCCTTCCTTTGTTTCTGATGCTGCTTCTTATGTTCCATGGAATGTAATCTCCAACAACAATCAAGAACTAGCATGCCCTTCAATGGTTGCCTCACCACCGAAGAATCCCAAGAAACTAAATTTCAAGAAAACAAGAAGCAAAGAAATATTTTATGACGATTCATTGGAAGATACTGCTAGTTCTCCTGTCAATAGCCCCAAGGTCAGATGTACCCAAATAAATTTTTGATCTTCTTATTACTTTTTTTTTATATTTTTCACCATTAATTCGTACGAAGATATGAACTTCTTCTTGAAAACCGGCTTGTAGGTGTTTGGAGTTTGTATGTATATATTTGTACAAGCTTATATTTAATTGACGCGGGATTCTAACATTTTCTCTTTTATCAAAAGGTGGATAGTTTAAAGCAGATGGATATGAATCAGGGAGGAACATGTGACAATATTGAGAGTGCTATGGTAAGTAGACTATAAGTTTGGGTTTAATTCATTATTGAAAGAAGTTTGGTACAGATTGTTTATATATATGAGAGCTGAAAAGATCAATTGTGTTTTTGCTGGTTCTGGTTCTGTAGGGGAAAGTAGGTGGCTATGGTGATTATTCAGAACTGCAGGCTGATGAAAGAGATGTAATGAACTTTGAGGGCAAAAGTAATGACTCGATGGACCTGAAGAAGAGTGGATTGTGCTTGGTTCCTTGGTCGATGTTAGTGAACTATCTTGGTTGATCTCTGTCTCTGTCTCTCTCTGTCTCTGTGGAATTGTATAAAGAATCTTCCTGGGACATTGTTGAGTTGATTATTGCAATATCACCAATATACATCTCATATCATCCATGGCATAGTCTTCTTTAATTTTCTTACCAAGTTTTCTTCTTGGTTGATCTCTCTCTCTCTAAGAATCTTCCTGGGACATTGTTGATATTGCAATCATCAACATACATCTCAGATCATCCATGGCATAGACTTCTTTGGTTTTATCACCTCTCATCCAGCACGATGTATATTTTTCTTCTTAAATCATTTATGATAATATTCTATCAAATAAAAAATATGAAGAACAGAGGAGAAGACACGCAAATACTAATTGTATTTGGGATAACTTTGGAAAAATCAAGAATATCCCACATGAAAAAAAAAAAAAAAGAATATCCAACATGACTAGGCCAATCGATTGGTTTTCCTCGGATAATCCCAAACAGCAATGCTACTGGGACCTATTTATTTATTTTTGGTTCAACGGACCGGTGTGTTCAAATCAACTTATGTGTATCTCGACTAATTTATTTTCTGGACCATCCAGGTCGAAACTAGGATATTTACAAGAAATAAATTCCTCATGACCTGACCCTAAGAAATTACTAAGTTTCGTACTCAGAAGTTTGAATTTACGACTCTCCTGTTATTACTTGAGCAACGCCTTTGAAACATAATTTATTATAATCTTTAAATTGATTGTGTACTTCATCAAGAGTAATGCTATATCGACCAAATTTTAGGATTAAATTTGGAGCTCAAATGACATGACAGCTGACTTAGAATTCTTTATTTGGTGCTATGTCATTTTGGCGCCAAATAAAAAATTCCAAATCAGTTGTCCTGTCATTTAAACTCTAAATTTGATTAGTGTAATATTACTGTTCCATCAAATATTATAAGTTGATGTTAATACTAAAGTACATCATTAAATTATCAAATTATGTCAAATATTTAGATCTGAATAACACATGGCAAGAAAGAACAAACGTTCGGAAATGCTTAATCTGATGCTAATTAATTAAGTCTAATTTATGTAAATCACAAAAAATATAAAAAACTGAGAATGAGTCCGAGAGAATGACAATACATATCCTTTGAAACCTAGGATGATTAGCGGAATATCTTTATTGAATGACAACCGAAAGGCAGAAACAATAGATATATAAACGAAATGACTTCAAAAATAGACGGTAGTTCACCCTATTTATAGGTAAAAATTATAGTATTTTATTTACCTATTCGATAATTTGAGAAAATTTTTTTAGCTTATCTTATATGATCAAGTGTATTATTTTTATTCGAATTATGTCCAAAAAAATCGGACACGAAATCGGATAAAGTCATATTTTTTATTTATTAAATTTTAAATCATTTTAACAATTTAATTAAGTAATTTGCACCAATTACCTAACATAATAAACCAATAAAACTAAAAAAACATAATAAATAAAATAATACATAAAACAATTACAATAAAATACAACAAGAAAGTCATAAATATCAATACATCATATATAAAAAAGTCGTAAACATCAATAAAATATTAGGATTTTTAAATTTTATTTTTTAGAATTAATATATATATAAATTTTGTAAGTATTCTGCATTTTTCCTCGATCTTTACAAAATACCAAATGATCTTCTGTTGACCTACCTAATTTTTTCGGGTAATCGATCAGTAAATCAAGTAGGGTAAGATATGATCAAAATTTGTGGGTAATCAGAAATTTGCATGCCCTCAATAATTTGACAGATGAATTGAATCATATTTATTTAGTTGTCTCGGGGAGAAATCTAATCTGTTTGGTACGATAGAAAAAAGGAAGAATGAAAAGTTGGAAGGATAAATAAAATATCATATTTGATAAGGAATGAAAATATGAAGGATAGAAAAGTGGATGAATTAACTTTCCTTCCAACTCACCAAAATCGAAAGTAAAATGGATGGAAAATTAATTATTTGTGTTGAGATGTATTTTATTTGTTTATATATTATGTATACATTAATTTCATATAATATATATATATATATATATATATATTTATTTAAAAAATTAAAAAATAAATTAAAAAATAAAAATTTTAAATTAAAAGAAATATTTTTTTCATCTTAACTAGAGGTGAAAATTTCGAATCAATACGATGACACGATTAGAACTCTATATGAATTTTATAACACGAACTTGATTATAACTCGACACAAACTTGAAAATGACCTGAAACATGAACAAGAAATATAAAAAATTTATAATTTTATGACTCAACACGAAACAGACATGACACGATTCGATTATCACTCCTAATCTTAACTAGCACAAAAAAATTAATTATTTTTATTTTTCATCCATTCAACCAAACACAAAAGAAGAAAAATATATTATTTCTACTTTTCATTTGAAGAATATAAAATGTATCTCTCTTATTTTCTATCATTCTTATTTTTTATCCTTCTTATCGAACAAAGCATAAGAGACAAATTCCTTTTGATACCATTTACATCAAATCTCTCCTCGTCCCACGCTATACTCAAAGAATGACATAAGACCCGTAGAATGGCAGAGGCAAAAAGAGTTTTTTTTACATTTTCGTCAATTCGTGAACGTGGTTGGTGAAATAAACAATCAAATTGATTCAACAACTTGATTACAGTTTGACTTAGGAATATAATAACAATTTAGGCAGCAGACATGCTCTCTCTAACTAAGTCCGAATATATAAAAAAAAAAATGCAAGTAAATATAATAAAACGGAAGAAATATTTTTTCAGTTTCAATACCCAAAAAGATTCAGTGTAATTATACTAAAGTGACATGAAGCTTAATAAGATTAGTTTTCGGGTATAAATATAATGAATTATGTATCGAATTAAGCCCAAAATACAATAAGTAAAAGAGCATTATATATAAAAAGAGAATATGACGACAATTTGATTAGAATATTGGTGAACCCGTGACAATTCAATTGTGCGGACTAGCAATGACTCATGCGATGCTGCACAAAATAAGAGCTTCTAAAATAATAATTGGATTTTACATAAATATTTACTTATGACTAAGACTTACATTGTATGGCAGTGAAATAGTAAATTGTGGTACTTGGTCTTGTTAAAAATTATAAAAACATTGGTGGTGGTGGTGGTGGTGGTGGTGGTGGTGGTGGTGGTGGGGGGAGGAATTTGAATGAGAATAACTTTAAGGCAACGACCGAGATCATGAGAATCGTATTACACCATTGAAGATTATAAAATAAAAAAATGGAAGTAGGTTTTGCTTTTAAAAAGCCAGAAAAGTACTACCAAAAAAAAAAACTAATCAAGTAATATTGTTCATTCTATAGATATTATATATTAATCGGGGCATGTCATTGTGCATTTTTTATTTAATAATTGAAGAATATGTCACCATGTATCAATTATTTGTATTCTCAACCCTATATTTTTTTGTTTGTGTCAGAGCTATATTCTGCAACAGAATCTAGAAGGATGCTAGTTCTTTGTACCTATAAAGCAAACAACAAAAATAGCATTAGAAAATAGTGAAAAAATATTAATAAATTCATGTATTAAATCATGTCCTACCTATTCCGGGTCACTCATTTAAAATATGAAGAGACAATTTCTTGTGATCAGGTCACGAGAGATTTATCGATCTCCCATAAATATCCTATTTCTACTCCCAGTATGGATGACCTACCTTTGACCGGACCGGAGAGAAGGTTAGTCGAGGTGTGCATAAGTTAACTCAGATATCCTTGACCGTTGAACCAAAATTAAAAAAGTTATATTTTGATATAAATTAAAGACCCCTCTTTTTGATTTAATTTATTTGTAATTATCCAACGTAAAACTAATAGAATAAAATGAATAAAAATAAATAAATTTTAGAAAATCAGATAAATGAAGGTGGTTGATGCATACGACTGTAGAGTTGTTTAGGGGTGAGGACATTCAGCATATTTCCCACCACAAATTGATCCTTTGGTGACTCACTTGCACATTCTTCTAGATCATTTTTGAAAAGTATTAATAACGAGGCTCACGACAACAATGATGTTAGCATGATAATAAGAAATAACCACAGCAAATAAAAAACAATTGTCAATGTGGAAGAAACTGTCGTGCTCAATTTTTTTATCAACAAGGGGATTTTCAGGGGTCAAATCGTTTAAATATTTTTATTTTTAAAGTAATTGAAACAAATAAGTAATTGAATTTAAACTTTAATATTCTAAAATATTTTTGAATGTTACGAGAAGTGGCGGTATATTTCCACTAATATTTCGTAAGATTTTGAGGTGTTTTAATATATTTCAGTATATTTAGACTAATGATTTGGAGTGTTTTAGAAATAAATTCTCAAATTTATTTTTATTTTGTTTCTAAAATATTTTTAATTTTATTTTTTAGGTGACAAAAATAATGTACTAAAACAAAATTTTGATTCTTAAAAGAGGTCAAAGATGATTTTTTTTTATAAAAAAAAAAAAAATTGTGCTATAATCACAGTAATCTATTATGCCCTTTATGAGAGAATTACTTTTAGTATTCATGTTAATTTATCTTGGGATTTTTGTTTTGCACTCTTGTCAGTGTGTCAAGTTCAAGTCATGGATATTAGAAAAATTGCAACCCTAGCTACCACATATCAGAATTGATTGGTCAGATCCGGTCAATCTTTTTCTTTACTCTACCAGTGAAAGAAAATTATGATCCAAGATTAAACACATAACTGTAATTTGTCGGATTTAGTTTTGGTTTAATTTTGTGGATAAGCATGTAATGTCAAATCTCTCCGAGAATTTTTTTTTGTTCAACGGTTAAGAATGTTTGGGATAATTTGCGTGTACCTCGATTAATTTCTTTCCCCTTTCGGTCAAAGGCAAGACTCGCGTCTGATTAATTAGTTGGTGAGGTAATAACTTACAAGGCAATGATTAGTAGCTAGTTTGAAAGAATAATCAACTACATTGGGATTGAGACACGGCCCAGACTCCTACGGGAGGTAGTAGTGGAAAATTTTCTGCAATTAGCAAAAGCTTGATGGAGTAATGCCGCGTGGAGATGGAAGGATGCATGCCGGGACTAGAATATTTACGAGGGATAAATCACTCATGACTTGATCCCAAAAAATTATCAAAATTTAAACTTAAAATGTCTTAATTTTACAGTGTCTTGAAGAATTATTTGACATTAAAAAGATAAAAACTGTTGCAGATGGTTAGTGGCTTTAGGTGTCATGAGCAGTGTCAGATCAAGAAGTCACAAGTAGCATAATATTAAAAAGATAAAAACTGTTGCAGATGGTTAGTGGCTTTAGGTGTCATGAGCAGTGTCAGATCAAGAAGTCACAAGTAGCATAATATATAGTTGGATTAGAGCAGCCATCTAAACCAACCATTTTGGATTAATAACCACTTGAATCTAATAAAAAATTAAAAAAAAAAAAAGGTTAGTTGATGAACCATTTGCTTTAAACTGATTTTGTCATCAGTTAGGTGGTCAATCAAATTGTTAACAACCATATTAAATGATGTAATTAATCTAGATAGAGAGTGTTAGAACATAAGTCAGGTTCACTAAATTGTGTGACATGTCTACTTCTGATTGGTCTGATAGATCACGTCCCATTAGATTCTAACGATGAAAGATAGTGACTTGTATAAGTTTTATGGGTGGAAGTCTGAAATAGCCGTTGGATGATATGTAGAGACTTATATATAAACTTGAGTTTAGTAAAAATGGAGTTTTGTTATGGTTATTAGAAAATATTATTTGGTTTTAGTTTGAGAACCTAATTTAGAAATGTAATTAATTACGAAATAAAAGTGGGTTTTATTTAATATTAAAATTCATAATTAATTCAATAACTGCATTGAATTAGTTACTAATTAAGTCCCTAGCTTTGTTCCTTATTATTATTATTTTATGATTATTTTTTCTTATTTTTATGGGTAAATATGTTTAACCCAAGTCAATAATTTAAAATCAATTTATACCGAACAATAATTGACCCATTTTTGGGGTCAGGCCTTGGGGGATATCCCTCATGAATGCATTAGTCTCAACATGAATGTTTTGCTTTTGATCAAACTAAAAAAAAAAAATCGAAATATACGTAAATTGATTCAAACACCTCTAATCGTTTAAGCGAGTAAATTAATTGACCTATCCAACTAGTCTAATTTGCCTCTTCTACCAATACCAATAGTGAGAAAACGTTTTATGTCGAGTTCTTTTATTCTACTTTTTGTCTACCCCAATCATCCTCCAACAAACTTTGCATTAAACGCCAGTTCAAGATCAAATCTGGTGACCAGATCCTACCGTTTTGGATATGTGAAAATTGTAGGGAATGAAGACGAAATAAAGCACATCACCAAGTATGCTTGCATTCATTCATTCATTGCCAATACCAAATGATTGAGATAGTATCTTTTTCTTTCTTTGTTTCTTTTGTTCAATGAATGATTGCATAATAAAAAAGTCAATATTTTTATGAGCTCTAATGCAGCAGAAGTCATAGGTATGGAAAGATTCTTCTATTTGTAATTTTTTTTTAAAAAAAAGTTGTACCCAATTCACAAGACAATGAATAGAAGTGCAAGCAAAGATTCCGAAGAATTAGAGGTATATTAGACTATTCGACTACTTATTGATCGCAATTTGTCATGGCTGCCATTGTTCTTGTTTTTATGCATTTTCGGAAATATTAAAAAATTTGCGAAATTTTCCGATTAATTTGAAGCTTATGGAACAATGAGTTTGAAGTAATAGAAACTTTGATTTTTCCAGCCATGTGAAATGGACCATAGGGACACTACAGTGGTGGCTTTTATTTCCTTGAATACTTTTCACTGAATAATAAGTTCAATTTTTTTTTTTCAATATGGGTTTTAGCAGCTTAGCAAACATACCAGTCCTCTTTTTTGTGATGCTGATTTGTTTTATTCGTACTGCTAAAAGTTCAATAGGCCATTAGTTAAATATCTGATATACTTGAACTATCGATATAGGACCAAGGATCACAATTTTATTTCGGAACATTAATTTGGTCACATATAAAACGGAAATGTTTCAATGTATTTCGAAAACGTTTTGTTCTATTTAGGAAATATAATAAAAAAAAATGAAAAATTATTTTTCCAGAACATTGGTCGAAATATATCAAATTATCTTGAAACATTCCGAAACAATTGTACAAATGTATTAAAATATTACAAAACACCTCGAAACATTATGAAACATCTCGAAATATTAAAATTTTGATTCTATCACACATACATTTTAATCTTCTTAAAAATAGAAACGTTTCGGATATGTCGATACAAATTTTTGATCCTCATATAGGACCAGCCATTCAGTTCCGATGCTCTGTCCCCTAAGGAATAACTAAACAAATAGTTCTAGGGTTAATCATCTCATCAGTTCCATAGAAATTTGTAATTTCAAACAAAGAATCTTGTAAATGTGTAGACACTTGTACAATATTTTCCATCCCGATACAGCATACTAATTTTTTGAATTTACTGCAGACATTTAGTACAAAGAAGAAACGGGGAAGTTGTATGATAATTCCTGGAAAATATTGACAATAAATCACAACTTGACATATGAATTGCATTTGGACTCGACATTTGGAGGCTGAATAAAAACGGAGATATCACACGTGGTAAATACCGTCGCACCCACCTTAAAAACCTCGAACACACACACTTTACCATGCAGGGTAGCCGTTGATGTCAAGTTAAAACTCCCAGCACGAAGATCATCCCAAAAATAGGGACTTAAGATTAGCTTATCTGCAGTAAAATTTTCAAATCTGCTAATATTAAGTGTACCGCGTGCAGGAACTTTGTCACCTTCAATTGGAACATCAGCTACAGTGATCCCATGGTAATCAATCGTTGATGTTGTGTTTTGGTACTTGAAGCTTCCATAATTTCGATTGTGAATGGTAACAACTAAGCCTAATGTAGCATTTAGAGACAAAGATGGGTCGAGTTGGAACTGAATGTTTTCGAGACTTGCAGGGTGGGCAGTGACATGGGGCCTTTTAGGCTTGAAGACAGTAAGGAGCAAGATGACACATACAATTACAAGGATGGTCAAAACAGCTGTGGTTACACCACAACAGATTGCTAGTGATTTCCGAGAACTTTTACTGCTAGGCTCAGGCATATTCTTAGAATGGTATGGCTGATAATCTTTGATCGATGATGAAAACGAGATTATTGAATATTTGTGATCGATGATGAAAATGAGATTATCGAATGTTTGTTGGTATATGTTAATGTAGCATATACCAAGAAAGCTTAACAATAAGCCTAATCTGGCCCTCTCAATGAACAACAGGAAGGGTGAAATTATCTCTTTATGCTTGATATGTTTCAAGCAGACAAAGGGAAGAATCTGATTTGATTCATTTTTCTGTCAGTTTAGTGTTTGTTTTAACTTGAGGGTTAGGGTCCATTAAGGAATATATACATAGATGGAAGGCTGGTTGGTTGGTTTGACTGTTATTTGGGCACGTAAACAACAGGCTTGAGGGTGGGTCTTGGTGCAAAGGTTGTTCTATTGTGACTTGGAGGTCACGGGTTCCAGTCATGGAAATAATCTCTCTGCTTACAGAGGTAAGACTGCATACATTTAACCCTCTAGACTCTGTAATGACATGAGCTCCGTGCATTGGGTATGACTTTTTACCAGCAGACTTGAGATGCATCAGAAAAGACAATTTTTCTTTCAGTTACTGCCAAATTGGAATTACATAGATCAATCTTTGACTGGTATGTTCCAATTTCTGCTTTGGTCATGCACTACTTGGAAATTAGATAACTAAGAGACAAGCTATAAATTGTGCTATATATTATAGAAAATTTACGAAAAAAACTTGTTAGAAATAATGGATGACTGTTGGGGGCAACCATACAAAGGATTAAACATATCACTATTTAGAATGGCCACTCAATATATACAGTCCGGGTTTACTTATCGTCTCAAATTTCAATTACTTTATATACAACGACTTCGAGAGAAAGACTCGAAATCAATACCAGAATCTTAATCGTATAATTCTCAGTGTCCTTCGAATCGACCATCAATATAAGATCAATACCATGAAATTAAACCTTTTTTATATTATGTGCAAATTTTTATCAATCATAATTTGTTTATTTACCCAGCAAAATTGGGCCCAGGGGAATATTTGGGTGGGCCTCATGGATCCAACCCAGTTTTTGACTGGCCACAGGCCACACGCTCTATTTCATTTCCTAATTATCCAGAAATACAAGGGTTTTTTTGGTTCTGCCTCCACCAAGATTGTATCGATATATAAGCATTATAAAGATTTTAGGGCGAATTGTAGTTTATATATGGAAAGATTTAAAATTTTTTACTTTATACTTTTAGAAATGAGATTTCTCTCATTACACTCTCAATATATTAAAAGTGTTACAATGTAACTTTTCGTTTAATTTCTGTTACTCGTTCTGTCTACATCAACGGAGTAACTTTTGACAAAATAAGTAACAAAAGAGCCACAATGCAACACTTTTAATATATTGAGAGTGTAATGTAAGAAATTTCATCTTTGAGAGTACAAGATCTGATTCCTTCAAGGTTTTAAAGTTTGATTCAATAATAGATCATTTATTACACATTGAAAGAAACCATCATATATTATGGTTCATTTGGTATGACCAAAAAGTGGAATGTGTAAAAAATAAGGGGATGAATAAAATATCATGTGTTATTTACAAAAATTAAAAAAAGAAAAAGAAAAATAGACGGATACTCTTATTTCCAAACTACCAAATTGTATCTATTAAAATTGGACCAAAAAGTATATATAAAAATATAATGGTTATATATGATCGTACAATTTTATTTAATTTTTTTGTTTATCCATACCAAACGTAAAATAAAATAAAAATTACATCAATTTTTTTCACTGTAAAAATAAAAAAGTGCGTCTGAAAGTTGTGTTGTCCAATGATTCTTAGCATCCCGTTAAGGGTCTTGCTTCAAGCATATTGTGCGGGAATAATTTCACATAAAAAAATAACCACCTCGGACGGATGGAGAGGGTGGTGGAGATGTCTCGTGGAATCTTTAAGATAAGAGAACACTTAGATAAACTGATGGACGAAGGTGGCCTAAGGGATTCCAATGCTTAAGTTAGAGCACAAGTCAACGAAAAGTATTGAGTGAATAGGCTAGGATTCAATCTCCTACCTAGTATCCGAATGCCTTTATTTATAGTGGTAGGAAGCTATGCTCTAACGGGATTCGAACTCTTGGTTGTGATGAGATGGACCTCATCACTAGCTCCTAAATATTAAGGGTAGAGTTAGACTAGGACATTTGCCTCTAGGTCCTTATGATTATCTCCTGGTTGTTCGCAGTAGCATTTAACTAGGACTCTTGCTCCTTAGTGCCTTATCACCAACCCCTAGATATTCAGAGTAGAATTGGACTAGGACTTTAAGTCCTTGGTTGGTCCTTAACTAACTAGGAGTCTCTTAGCGTAGGTGGACAAGGGAGTTCAAAACAACTCAAGTAGCAAGGAGGTAGTTGAGTAGTTAAGGCTTAGTGATTGCAAGTAGGCTCGTGTACGGACCCTTCGTGGATTAGTGCTGACCGGCAAGCCCTCCCCCAAAAGGCTGTCGAGTGGTAGTGGCTCTCTTAGGTAGGCGTCAACCAACACTAACAAAGTAAAAGGTGTCCTCACGAGCCCTTGGTTGAACTAGGAGCTTCCACTTGTGCGTCCTTAAGTGTGACCCATATGGCTTTGGTCCTTTGTAACTGTTGTTCAGCTATAACAAAATTGAATGGAGTCCCCCACAATTGACCACATACCTCATTTAATAGATGGAATCAATTGAGGTATGTTTTCAGAGGACTTAAGTTTTTTGGGACTTTATTGCCTAAAGGATTAGGACTTCTCTTGCCTAAGAAGCTTAGTGCTTTAGTCACCTAAGATGCTTAGGGCTTTAGTTTTCTTCTCTCTCTTCTCTTTTCTCACTTTCCATTGTGTTCCTTCACTTGGTTCATAGGTTGGAGCTTGACTGATAGAGAAAAAGGAGAAGTATTCATTTTTGTTTATACAAGGGTCAGACTTTACTTTGCCCATGAGCTAGTCGAGCAATAAAAGTTACTTGAGAGTCAGGGCGAGTCTGATGGGTCATATACATCCAGTTTGGGAGGACATTTCATGGCCTGAGAGAGACTTCCCAATTCCTAATATCATGGAGAAGTTCCTTAGTGGTGGTGGTCTAAGTCCTTTAACACTTGTGTCCCTTGTTCTTAGGGGTATTCAAATTTTTGATTAGCCGCAATTTCCTACTCTATCCGATCCTATTGAATGGCTAGCCGAAAAAATCGGATAGAAATGTGGAAGAGTTTTTGGTCTTCTAATTAAATTGGGTAGAAATGCATAATAACCATTAATTTTCGTATTCCTACCCTACTCTACCCGCATTAATATATATATATATATATATATATATATATATATATATATATATATATACATATAACAAGGCAGAGCTAGAAATTATGTCTAGGGTGGACACTTTATTAAAAAATTTAAAATTTTTTTCTTCTAATCAATAAAAATAAAATAATATATTTAAATTTATTATATTGTATTCGATACTTAAAAATTCATAAAATATGAAAAGAGTGAAATTTTGATAAATATAGCACACATAAATAAAAACAAACAAAAAAGATAGGCTAATTATACCCTTCATAACAAATGAAGCAAACTGCATAAAAGATACTATAATATTTCTCCATATATATGATCAAACTATTAGTCATTAATCACTCATTTAATTAAGTAACCTAGTTCTCATAATCTCTATAGCTTTTTATTTTTAATTGAAATCTCTATAGCTTAAAAAAAATGAGTTTGACATGTCAAAAACTTACATAGATGTATCTCTAAAGTGTCCAAAGTGTGTCAAAAAATTCATAATTATTTAGGTACGGGGGACTGTACTAATTGATAGAACAAAAAATGATAGAGTTGACACACTTAAATATACTTCAAATTATTTGAAATATAAATAAGTAATATTTAAAAAAAATTGAGGGTGGGCACGTGCCCCCTGGTCCTCAGGTAGCTCCGCCCTTGTATATAAACTAAAAACCCTAATTCCCTAACCATATAGTTCAAACTTAAAATAATTATTATTGTATTTATGCAACAATTATGATAGATTGATGTTTATGTTTTCTTGTATTTTATTGTAATTGTTGTTGTAATTATTTTAAACTTTAGTGTTATTGATTTATTGTGTTATTAAATTGGTACATATTATTTAATTGAATTATTAAAATGATTCAAAAATTAATAACTATAAAAATGTTTACCCGACTTTCTAACCGATTAATTTGGTCGAAAGTCGGGTAGAAATACAATACTTGATCCGATAGGGTAGGCCAAGAAAATTTTTTTCCACAAAGTATTAGGTAGGAAGAAGAAAGACCATATATTCTAATCATAGGATAGGATGAACACCCCTACCTACCCTGACCGAATGGAGAGAATCGCCATGAGTTAAGGTGTTTGATGCTCGAAGGTAGCAAGTCCTTAAAAAAGGCTAAGTAGCCTACTGAGCATTTGTAAAAGTTGATGGTCATCTATCGAAGGTTGAGTAACTTAGAGGGGCAACCTTAGAGGGAAAATGGCTTGTAGGCCAATCGTGGAGGTTGCATGGATGCCAAGTAGTTTTGAAGTGCATCCTCAGAGGTTGGATTGAGGTGTAACCATAGAGGTTGGTTAGAGGCAAATGAGCCTTGCGATGTAACCGTAGAGGTTAGCTAGAGGCGAATGATCCTTAAGGTGCAACCACGGAGGTTGGCTTGAGGTGCACCCACGGAGGTTGGTAAAGGTTAGCTTGAAGTGCAACTACGGAGGTTGGCTTGAAGTTCAACCGCAAATATTGTCTTGAAGTGCAACCACAAAGGTTGGTTGGAGGTGCGACTACGAAGATTGGCTTAAGGTGCAGCCACAAAGGCTACAATAGTCACAAATAGAGGAACACTTAGAGTTGTAAAAAATAAACTTCTCTTTACTAATCAACAAGAATGAGAAACAAATGTCTTTGAAGACTTATTGAAATAATAAGATGTTGTTGACTAAGCTAAAAGTAAAACTTAGTTATCTG